CTTTGCTAACGATAAGCTGTGAATGTACTGTACAGATAGTCTTCAATCGAGCGCGTGACAGACGAAGACGTGGATTACCAATCGTTTCTATATACTTATCTTACTTAAGTCCCTGTAGAGAATAAAATAAAATAATTTCATTATCTCCTTGCAATATTTTATTCCATCACAGAATGTTACAGAGGGCGCGGCCTCATTGTATGGCTTCACATGTTATTCATATTTTAATGTGTTCCATTACTTTGAAGCAAGAAACAAATGCAAATACTCCACTAACTTAAATTTTCTATTGAAATTATTTTACGTATTGTTGCTATGTTAGTTATTTATAACTTAATATCATTATTTTTCTATTGTATTTCTTTAGAATGTAATAAATTTATTTAAAAACTTCTAATAACATTATTTTTAATTGAAATGGTATTGAAATATAATTATTTATTACAATTTAAAGATCTGGATGAATATATATATATATGCTTAAACGGATAAAAATACCAACAGTGAAATACAAAAAATTATAGCGCCGTCCTTTGTTACTACCTAATTTAAATGAGGCCTCTTGTGGTGAAAAGATTTCCCACGTTTGTTTATTTTAATTAATTACATTAATTACATAATTACAGAACTATCTTCTAATTATATGTGGTTCGTTTTTACTACCGAATAAATTGAAAGATAGTGTACATAATTACTTGAGCAACAATATAATAATAATTAGATAGATTCTTCTAGAGGACATCTAATATTTTTCATTAATTTCCATCGGGTAGAATCGGAGAGAAGAAATCCTGAAAATATAGAAAATCCCATATCCCAGGTTTATATATCCCTTCAACGTCGCCAATATTTATTACGATGAAGATCAAATCGACCTGCCGTGCACTAAACCCGAACGCGTGTTCCAAATAAAATAAATGATCCGCGTAACCCGAGTAAAAATCGCAGCTGTTATAAGCTACCGTTATTAACGCTTTATCTCGGGTAACATCGAACCGTAAATACACGTACCCTGGCGTAACCTCCTTATAGTTGTTTAGCTAGGAAAACGCTGATAACGTAAACGAACGTGTGCGAAATAATCCCAAGAACGAAAGCCATATGCCTCAACAGTAATAATAATAATTCGACGCGTTTATCTTATACGAGGAATTATGCATCCATTTATCCATCGCGAGGGCCGATTGTAACCACCGTGTTCGATCAATAATATACTACGTAGGAACAGAGACGGAGGGACGACTGAGGCGCGCAAAATCCGTCTGAGAACGATTCTCGTCACAGCTCCCTCTCTCCTTTCCAGCAGTTCAACCCTAGTCAGATGTTACAGAAGTAATAAATAAATCGTAGATGCAAGATAAATCGGAATTATAGAAATCCGCTTCCTTTACCAAGAGGGAATTCTTCGAACGGAATTTTAGACACGCGCGTGTGCTGCGTGCGTTTCCACAGTATTTGGAAACAGAATATCGATCATTTCTCGGTATATATCGCTACTCAGATTCTCCTTCGTCAATTTACGAATTTCCAAACAGAAGATATCGATATAACGATATCTTAAGATCATACGTACTATTGTGCAGCGATAGATAATAATAATAATAATAATAATAATAATAA